GCCACTCTCGATATATGGGGCTGGCGCCCTACTCACTGAGCCACAGGCACCGTCCAACTCTGCTATTTGTTGAAAAATAAATCTCTGAAGAGGTCCATGATATTTCCATTACTCAAGGAGATTTACAAGAAAGCCCAAAGATTAAGAACCTGACAGTCCATGAAGAAAAATGGTTAGTTAGAATCTCGCTAGATGTTGCAAATGTTATAAAAAAAAAATCCTCAAATAAAAAACTTTCATTCTCTTTGCTTCCCCAAATCTTCGTAAGAGTCTTAGAACTAGAAAGGAACTCTCCCCAGTTTGCTAGAAAGTAACTAGGACAATTATCTTCCAGCACCTTTGCCTACCCCAAGCCAATATTCATAGGTCACCACCCCTCCGAGTTAAGCCTTACCTGCACTGCTTGTCGTTCATACAGTGACATTTGAGCTATCTGGGGCCGAGAGCTGCCCCCTGAGCTGGAACTCCCATTGGTGGAGTTGGAGTTCTGCTCACTCTCAGTCTCCATGACAGTGGTCCAGGGTCCCCAAGGCTGGTACTCTGACTCAAGACCTAGATGGAAATAGTAAAGAATTAAAATTTATATCTTGATTCTAAACCGTTACTTCATGTTATCATTCAAGACCACAATAAGTCCATAAGTTATCTAAAAATCTTCTTCCATAGCCTTCATGTCTCTAATCTTAGAACTCCCAAATCTGCAATATACTTTCACAGCCATATCGTTTAAAGTTATGCATTATCTCAAAAGAAACAAATGGTCAGAATGTAAGATGGCACCTTACAAACCCTAAGGCCACCTTACATTCTCACAACATTTCTTAATGATTTAAAATCTTCCCACTTAAAATCTATAGTTATCTCTTTGTGTCTCCATCTGCATCACTGTCATCTTTACAATGGTCATTTCCTGGGGTGCCACTAGTTGCATCTTTTCTCCAGGCTGAGCATTTCATCTGTACCATCTCTTACAGTGATATGCAGTAAATACTATTATCCCATTTTACAACTATATAAATGAGGTTTTCTGAGGCTAAAGAAGTTAAGTCTTTACACTACCACGTTTTCTTTTCAAACCAAAAAAATTCTATGATTAAGGCAATGTCACTCAATACCAGTACTCATTATCCTCATTTTATGGAAGACCACCTAAGATATAGATATGTTAAGTGTGTCACAGAAGGTCATAAAACAAGGAGACAGAAGAGCTAGCCCACAGCCTATAGAGCCCAAATAGCTGGCTACTAGTAATAATACTTCAGCATGTCACTTTCCCTCCTTACAGCTCTGTTTCCCCATATGCAAAGAAGGCCTCCCACTGAATGGAATATATCACTTTAACAACAACTCACAGGCATGAAACATGTTAAATATACAACAAAGAAAATCTTGAAGAAAGTAAGATTCAACTTTTTAGCCTACTTAAGCGTTAGAAATTACCCTCTGGAGACTACACTAAAATGCAAAAAGATATATGTGAAAAACACTGCTTAGAACCAAGCAAGGAGATAGGAGATGACAAGCAAGAAGAAATATTCTTTCAAAGCAGCATTAAATGGCAATAAGGTCTTTTATTCATTCTTATCTTTTTTTCTCTTTTGTTAAACATACATACTGTATTGTCTAGTTTTGAGGCACTGGGCCACAATATCAGGTCACCAAAACATTATCTGATTTAGCAACGTAAACATCAAACCAGAACTTCTCCTAAGGACTGTCAACAGTTTTATTAGGATGAGTGGATTCATCTTGGGGATTGCATCCAAAACAAACAAGCAAGCAAAGTAAAATACACGTAAAATCAAACTGTTTGGCCCTGGCAATAACGTTGAAGAGCTCTCTCATTATTTCATCCCCAGTATCATATGATCACAGTATTACCCTCCCCCCAAGCTCTTTGATTTCATTTAGGAATAGCAAATGTCACTGTAAACAGTGAATATAACCCAAAAAGTACACAAGAAAAATCACATCAGGTTCAACTCTAGTCTACCTTCTCCCCATATCTTTTGCCAAAATATCAAAGCACTAAACAGATACAGACCCATGAATCCTCATTATCAGCATGTGAAGAAAAAAAGTGGGTAAGGATTAGAGGCAGCACAGCATAGTTGTATAGAATACTGGACTTAGTTCAATGGACTCAAAGACATGACACCCCTTTACTAGCTATAGAAAGAACAGTAATTCCTACTTTCATATGTGAAAATGCTTACAAACGATATAACCCTCGTCTTCCCAAAAATGGAAGTCTTATTAACATTTTTTTCACATTGTAAAATAGAAATAGAGATGCAAGGGGGCCAACTTAAAGTGTTTTGGTAAAATCAAGGGAAATTGTTATCAAAACCAGGATTCCTAGACCCCAGGCACATAAATCTATTCATTTGTCATCAATGTTGTGACTGCCAGATTAAATACTGATTAAATAAAGACGACAAATACTTTGGGTGGCACAATGAATTGAAATTTTCAGAATTAAACAGGAAGAGAGTAAGTAGCAGATCCACTGAGGTCCCCAGAGCAGGTAAGCCAAGCCATGGTTATCCAGAAGGTAATATTTGAGTGGGTATGGGTTGGGATACGTTGGGCTGGCGCACTGACCTACAGAAGGGAGCTAGGAATATTCAGATGGACCTGGGGCTGGGCCTACTGGGTCAAGCGTTGGAGGAAGTCAGTATCCCTGAAGCATTAAACTCTGTCTTGTGGAGAGGGTATGGGGGGGGGGGGAGGACGGAGAAGGGAGCAGTTCAGGGAAAACTGTTCCAAGGAAATGGAAGTAACCTGGAGAATAGCGACAGTAGACGCCCAGGGTTCCTTGTTCTATGTAAAACCTTGATGAAAATGTTCCAAAGAGAAATCAAATACACCGAAGGAAGAGGGTAGACACAGTGGTGTACCAAGAGTGTACTGACCCAAGTAAGAAGGGAAATGTGCATACCGAGAGCGGGGAGACAGGCAAAAGTCAAGGAACTGGACGGTGAGGAACCCAGCGGACCATGAAAAGCAGGGAGATAACTAGACAGCATGCTAGGACGGAAGGATCAAAGTCAGAGAAGGAAAAATGAATGAGAAAATGAGCAGTCAAGAGGCAACTAGCTAGGGTGACGGACAGACAGCGCTAAGCACGGAGATATGAATAGCAATAAGACTCGGACAGGCAGAGCCGAACCACCGCAGAGCTCAGGGCTAGAGGTAGGCAGGGAAAGCAACTGGGGGAGGTACCTGGGGCGTTACACAGACGGAGGTGGCTGAAGAAACCTCCCCGCGCAGCCAAGCCCCCAGAGGTCCTGCCCCTCCCGAGTCCTCGGTCGCCCGGTTACCTTCGCGCCTGGCTCTGCACCCAAGTCCTCCTCGGGGGCGTTCACCTCATGTGCCTGGGTCCCCAGTCGCCAGGCTGGGCAGGGGGCTCACTCGGCCTCCGCGGCGGGCTCCCCGCGCCTCCTCCCCTTCCTGGAGGGGCGGGGGCGCCGAGAGCGGGGTGGGAGGTGCCCGGCGCGGCCGCGGCTCCCCGCCCCCCCCCCCCCCCCGGGTGCGGGCCCGGCAGCGGCTCAGCCAGGCCTCGGGGGCTCGCTCCGGGCCTGACACTTCCTGCCCGGCCGAGAGGATGGGGGCTTCAGGCCGGGGGCTGCGGGCCGGGCTGGAGAAGGGGGCTGGTGGGGAGGGGCTTCCGGGGCAGCCGGACCCCCCCCCCCCTCCCCCCCCTCCCCTCGGCGCCCTCCTCCCCCTCCCGCGCGGCCCTCGTTTCCTGCCGGCGCCCGTTGCCATGGCGACGCTGCTCCCGGGCCTCAGCGCTCCAGGCCCCGGGGTTTTTTCCTCGCTCGCTCTCTCTTTCTCCGCTTTTTTTACCCCCTTCTTGCTCTCCGAGTTCTGCTTGCCGGTTGGAGGAACGAAACTAAGAAAGTGCTGGCCTCTAGTGGGGAACTCACCTCTCGGAGAGGAGTTGGGGAGAAGGGAGGGAAGTGACGTGAAAAGGGGGAAAAGAAGGTATTTTCTGGAACCTCTAGGAATGAAGAGTAGAAAGAAAGGATCAAAGGGACCAACAGGCAGAGAGGGAGGAAGAGCAAAGCAACGGCCCTGGAGAAACGACAGGCTGGGAAAGGCGAGAAAAGGAAAGAAAAACTTGAAGATAGAAAGGAGACAGAGGTTGATTAAATCCTCTCCTCAACTCTGAGGAAGAAAAGAATGCTGCAGAAACAGGGAACCCTTTAGGAGTTGACAATGATTTTTAAAAGCTGCAACCTTAATACAGCTTCCTTTAGTACGTCTGTAATTTCAGGGATTTTTGTGTGCTGGCGTGTTCTTAAACTTAAATATGCGTGTCACGGCAAAAAGGACTGGAGTATAAAGAGGTGCAGAACAATGGGGCTGCTTCAGGAACACCAAACATTTGATGGTGGAGGCTTCATTGTATTTAGGATATCAATTTATCAGTTTTTAAATATTCTCTGTTTTTGATCATTCAACAGATATTTATGGAGCACCTACTATGTGCCAGCCTCTGTAACTTGGACTACATCAGTGCATAAAACAAAGATAACTGTCCTTATTAACCTTTCTGGAAGGGGTGGGGAATTGCCTTGTGCATTAACTAGGAATAATGCTTTTCCTGTTGCTGTCATACTCTTTTCCTAACCTCTGTTGTAGCCAGTAGTTTTCTCTGTCAATCCTCTCTTCATTCTCTTCTTTGAAAGCCCAATGCATGATTTGGTTTCAGAGGAAAAAAAATACAAGTGTTCTCTTTGTTTATAAATTAGGTCCATTTAGATTGGCATTGAGAGAGGAGCATTTGGGTCCCCGACTCTTAATTTGCAGTAGCCAGATTTAAATTAGAGAAAAAATTCTGCCAGGTTTTAAGGCTTCTAGAAACCAGTCAGACAAGTATGTGGAGGAAGAAACCAGAGGGCAGCCAAAGGACTGGAAAAGCAAAGTGTGGGGAGGTGAAAGGGTATGTTGCGAGGCCTTGGATGACAGGCATTGGCGGAGGATGAATTAAAAAATTCTGGCAGGGCAAACTAGTGGTAACAACTAGGTAAAGCATTAGTTGCTTAATTCAAATCTACATTATTGGCATGTCAGGAAGTTTAAAGCTTTCTTGCAGAGGCTTAGAAATGGATATTAAGCTGAATATTGCACTGAATTTCCTAGCATCAATGAAAAGCATGTATAGATACTTTTCAGATTATACAACGTTCAGACCAAGAAATATTATGCATGGATTCCAAGGGAGAATTATCACTAAGTATCTAAAGAAAGCCTATAGTTTTAAAGCTTTCTTGCAGAGGCTTAGAAATAGATATTGAGCTGAAATGGAAATAGAGTTGAATTTTCTAGCACCAGTGAAAAGCATGTATAGAATTATCACTAAGTGTCTAAAGAAAGCCTATAATCTAAGAATAAGAAACCCAAATACCAAAGGGTATGAGCTCATTTTTTTCCAAAAAAAAAAACTATGGAAGTTGTATACCAAGAGGGTACATGACCATTTCACATTTCACCCCTGTTAGAAGTGGAATAAAATCACCGTTAACTTCGTACAGTTGCATTATTCT